CTGGTGGTCAGTGGTGGCCGTGGGTGGCCGGAGGTGGCCATGGGTGGTCACTGGTGGCCGTGGGTGGTCAGTGGTGGCCGTGGGTGGTCAGTGGTGGCCGTGGGTGGCCGTGGGTGGCCGTGGGTGGTCAGTGGTGGCCGGAGGTGGCCGGAGGTGGCCGAGGGTGCCCGGGCCGAGGTTCTGTCCTACACTCCGGCTGTGGCTCTGGGCAGTCAGTGCATCACAGAACTTGGTCCCGGGGGCCCGGAGCGACAGCGGGGACAGCGATGGGGACATGGGGACAGCGATGGGGACATGGGGACAGTGCTGGGGACATGGGGACAGCAATGGGGACATGGGGACAGCAATGGGGACATGGGGACAGTGATGGGGACATGGGGACAGCAATGGGGACACGGGGACAGTGCTGGGGACATGGGGACAGCATTGGGGACATGGGGACAGCAATGGGGACATGGGGACAGTGCTGGGGACATGGGGACAGTGCTGGGGACATGGGGACAGTGCTGGGGACATGGGGACAGCGATGGGGACATGGGGACAGCCACCTGCAGTGTCCCTGGGGCGGGGTGGCACCGCTGTCCCTGTCCCCGCGGGGTGTCCCTGTCCCCGCGGGGTGTCCCCAGCTCACAGGGGACGGTGGCACCGCTGTCCCTGTCCCCGCAGGAGCCGTCCCTGTACACGGTCAAGGCCATCATCATCCTCGACAACGATGGCGAGCGGCTCTTCGCCAAGGTGGGGACACGGAGGGGACAGCAGGGGACACCAGGGGACATCGGGGGACATCAGGGGACACGGAGGGGACACTGCCCTGCGGGGGGTGTGGCTTTGGGGAGGGGACAGCGTAGCTGGGCCAGGGCTCAAGGGGTGGCCACTGTCCCTGTCCTTTCCTCCATGTCCCTGTCCCCAATGTCCCCACAATGTCCCCAATGTCCCCACACTGTCCCTGCTGTCCCCAATGTCCCCAATGTCCCAATGTCCCAATGTCCCCACAATGTCCCCACAATGTCCCAATGTCCCCAATGTCCCCAATGTCCCCACAATGTCCCAATGTCCCCACAATGTCCCAATGTCCCAATGTCCCCACACTGTCCCCACTGTCCCCGCTGTCCCCGTGTCCCAGTACTACGATGACACGTACCCCAGTGTGAAGGAGCAGCGCGCCTTCGAGAAGAACATCTTCAGCAAGACACACCGCAGTGACAGTGAGTGACACCGGGGGACACGGGGGGACACGGGGGTACACCGGGGACGTTGGGGACATTGGGGACACCCTGGGGACACCTTGGGGACGTTGCCGTGTCACAGGTGAGATCGCGCTGCTGGAGGGTCTGACCGTGGTGTACAAGAGCAGCATCGACCTGTACTGCTACGTCATCGGCAGCGCCCACCAGAACGAGGTGGGGACACCGGGGACACCGGGGACACTGGGGACA